GGGGGGGGGGGTTGTTTGATTGTTTGCCTTTACTATACAACTATAATGTTCAATACACAGAGTTATTCTCAAGTATTGCACTTGCCTGTTTTGTACAAGCACAAAAATGTGGACTTGTGCATAAAAGTCTCATGTTTGACCTCCTGAATAATTATGTGGAATCGATAAAGAAATCATGACAATCTGTAAAGCTCAGGGCCATACCTTGGAAATTCCTTTTCACCTCATATTTTGTGTAGTTCTGAAGTTTAACTGGAAAACTTTTGCTATTACTTGTTTCTAAGCTAAAACACTCGAGGAACAACAGGAACAGCTTTAGGAAGCCCTCTTCCCTTTTGGAATTCACTCCTCTGAGAAGTCCGTCAGAGCCAAAATGTAATTATCTACACAGCACAGTACTTGGAGTGTTTTCTCTAGGCTTTAAATAATGTTTGTGGTTAGTTCACATTACCCATTGCTTTAGAATCTCTTTTAAAGCCCTTGTGTGCTAGAGTTATAGGCCATATACAATTTAATAATACATTTTTCTTCCCATTCCCATATCTCACTGTGGCAAAATAACTTTACTCGGATTTATAATTTTCTGTGTACTCTTATCCACAGCGATTTCTTCTAAAAGTCACTTGGTAAAGAAACTGTAGGCTATCTGTATGGAAAGTTTCCCCATGGGGATGATGATGAGACTATTGAAATAACTAATAATACCACAAATGTTTACCCAAGCAACAGTGCAGAGAAAAACTACCCCAATCTGGCTACGCAGCTTCAAAGGGTGCCCACCAGAGATTAGTAAAGGCCTTGAGATGACCAAACACAAAGTAGAAAATTAAAAGACTGCCTAGTTCAAGATACTGGACTCAACATTTTGTGCAGTATATTGGACAATCCAATTTAGATTGTGTATTAGAGGCTTAGCTGAAGTATGACTTAATGACACCTTGACATTAAGCCTCAAAGAAATACAGAGTGAGGACACAAGCAGCTACCAGAGGAATGAATTTCTATTTTTGGTAAACTCAGTGACTCTCCTCACAGACATTTGGAGCTATAAAGTAAGAGCCTGATATTACTAGCATGTACGTTTTCCCCTCCAGACTTACGTCTTTATAATTAAGCTTCATAGCTTGCACTAGTACAGTATTTCTCAGATCCTAAGAAAGATTAAATGGTTCTGCAGTTAGTTATAGTGATCCTTAATTCTAGATCTGTAAAATTAAATTCGTATGTTAGAGAGGATTAAATTGTCAATCATTTGGTTATGTTTCCTATTCACTCTGGCATATACTAGAGCACTCTCTGCTGCATTTCTCAAAACTTTTTCCACAGAACTGGAAAGAAATTACAGGAGTGTAGTATGGTTATAATCTCTCTCTTGGTCTTTTGTGGGATGCCAATAGACAAAAATCATTGCCCAGAGAGTGAACAGAATGGGAGAACTGAGAAAAGTGTCTGTACCAAGGAAATGTCCACATTTAGAGTTTGTCTTCATTACAAGCCTTCTGCCAGCAGTCAGCAGCTGCCATAGGGAAATCACCAAAAGGCATCCCACATCCACTCAGCTTCTGGCAGGCTTGTACAGCTCAACTACAGTACCTATGCCAGCAAGGAACACACAACACACTGGGAGACACCAGCTGTTAAAAGGAGCCATGGCAGAAAGAGCAGGAACATCTACTCATGCTTTTTAGTGGCTTTATAGCAGCAGAAGCCTTCTGCTATTCACAGAGCAAGCCCTGCTCTGCCAGAAGAAAGAAGGGTTCTGCCAGCACACGGAAGTTGTGAGCATGGATGTGATCACAGCTTTGCTAACAGAAAGTCATGCAGCCAGAAAGTCCCTATGCCCATAACTGATATGTTGCTTACTAATATTTATTAATAACGCAAGGTAACCCTGCACCCACAATTTTGGTTATGTTTTGAAATTAAGAGAAAACCACACACCGCTCTGTTACATGTATAAGGGGAATACACTGGTATCACAGTTCATGCTGCAAAAGTCAACAAACTTGGGGATGGTGAAGCCTTCAAGTGAGGCCACTCTAAAGTATCTCATGTTTCCAGATGATCCTAATCCACAGGCAAAGACCCTCGCTAGTAAATGAGGGTCAAGTATTTCCCAAAAGTTTGTGTGTTTCATCGAAAATTACGTAGTATACAGCAGCCATGTCTACACAAGACACTGATTGCGCAGTAGCTCATTACTACTGTGCAGTAACATCATGTGGCACAAAGCATGATGCGATGCTACTGTGCAGCAATAACCTACTGTGCAGTCAAAGTCACCAAGAAGCCATGCAGAGATACTGCTGTGCAGTCAGCATCTTCTGTAGACGAGGCCACCATGCCTTATTATTAGTATTCAGCAGCTTCAGTTACTGAAGCTCCTAGCTGGTCAAAAGGAACTTACTTATTCAGTAACTCATCTCTATTAATGGCTCTCCAAAATAGCATCCACTGACCAGTGGAGAGTCATGAAGTCATCAGAAGTAGTGTGTGGGCTGCAGTGCCCCTTGTCCGTTTTCAGTTAGAAGTTTGATGTTAAGGGCACATAGCAGTCCATGAGAAATTCTGAGGGCTGAGAGATACACTGGTCCAAAATGTTTTGGTCTCACTTTTCTATACAAAAATAGAAAAAAAAAAACTTTATCATTCTAGAGCAAATAGTATGGAGATGGTCATGAAGAGAATTCTTGATAATAATTCTTAATAATTAAATTATTTAAAGAGCACAATTATAAGTTGTTCTTTTCAAGTTTAATTTGAGAATTTAAGTAGGAGGTGGGGAGAGTGGTGAGTGTGCATGTGGGGGTATTTTCTTTTTAAACAATGTTTGACAGGATGTATCAAATTCATATGTTGGATCTCCAGCTCCCATAAATAGCATTAATTATTCCTATTATTAAATTATCCATGTATTAAATTATTTAATACCCTGCTCTGAATGACAGATACTGTAGACTGCCCTGATCAAGATTTCCAGACCAAATAAACAATCCTACTTTAACCTAGTTATGAAACACTGCTTGAATACCTGACTCTTAATAAATGGAAGATAGGAAATAGCAGAATTTTTTCTGATTTTTCAAAAAGTCCAAATTACCTTAAACATGGTTAGCTATCCCCCAAAATTTTAGAGCAGAATAACCAGCCTTTGCCACGTCTGAGTTTAATAACCCAACATCTAGGATTGATTTTGTTCAGTTCTTTCCTCCTCTTTTTTTAAATTGTAACTTACATATTTAACTTTTAGCTGTAGCAGTTGACAACATATCTATCGCACTTAAACAACGTAACTCAGAGGCATTATTTTTCATAACGATGTTTATTTGGTCTTTTTCCATGTATGTTGCTTTGTTAGTTCTCATGCAGCAAATGCATTATTTTTTTCCCTGGTTAAAATGGTACATTGCTTATTTTGTAACCTGTCTTTATTCTGTTAAGCCATTTTATTATAATTACTTCCCATTCCTCCTCTGCCCCCTGCTCTTTTGCATCCCACTCTTTGTAACACTAAAGATTCTGTTCATGTTAATCTTACATGGAATCCTATTTTTGTAACTAAATCTAATACCAGCAGAAAACCATAATGATTTTACAAGCCCATTATGGACACACAGGTCCACTCGTGAAGAACTATCATATATATTTATATAGCATGGCACCCCTTTTAAAAAAAAAAAAAGTGAGGTCTCTGACACACAAGAAACAATGATAATAAATGTGTTGATTTTTTCATACAATTTGATATCAATATATACAGTAATTATTTTTTGTGATAATTTTCTAATTTATTGAAAGTAAAATTGAAATTAGACAATTTGACATACGTATAAATGAAACATTGGAATTTTATACATCAAATGCATCAACTACATCAAAGATTATGAAGGCTAAAATATTCTTTGAAGTGTAAGTTCAGAAAAAAATCAGATCTGTGTTATACATTTTATTTGTTACAGCACACCCTTGGAATAGTGCACTGAGAAAAAGAAATGTTAGTTTTAAGTATCTAGAAAATGTGCTAGCATTGCTACATTCTATCACATATTTTGCATGTTAGACTACTAGAAAATGCTCTCTTCAGATAGCTAACACTGGCAAATACATAAATGGAAGCAATAAATGAATAATCAGGGATCCTGGCAACAGATCAGTACACTGACCTGGAAAGGTTAGAGATGTTTCCTCATGACAATGCCTGTGTATTTCTCCTGCGAGAGGTTAATTGCTAGATTAAGTAACCTTAGTTATTTTAGCTGCCAGTACACCAAGATCAAAATACTTTTAAACTTGGATATTGTTGTGACCATAAACTAGGTCAGATTAATTTAAGATATACTTCACAACAAGTAAGATACAGATACAAATGTATCAATATATTATAACCCCAGTAGTTATCAGCAACAGAAAAACAAACATAGTAAAAACATACATTTAAAAATACATACAAACAGGTGTGATGCAAGAGTTAAAATTGTGGGTCCAGAGATTTTGATTCTGTTCTTTATTATGGTCACAGAGTTGAAAGGCCATCTAGGGCCAGATATCTGGAGGGGTTATAGTACCCACAATTGGTAACAGATTTTTCAAAAGAATAAACTTCCATTTAGGCATCTCAATGAGGTTTCAACTTTGTCAAGAGCTCAATAATTAGCAGGTTTCATTATCTGCAATGGTAACTGATGAGTACCGAGTTCAGCTGGTTGGAAAAACTCCGGCAAACCATTTTTCAGTCTGGGTTTCCCTATTGAAAACTTAACAATTCAGAGAGACAAGGTTACTAGGGAACAACGCTGACACCATTGGAAACCACCTTGGTTTCCTGCCGGTTAATCCATCCCATTCTTTGGTAGTCTGCTTCTAAATGTCTAGCTATGGGCTTCAATCCCATGATTTGTTGATTAGGAAAAGCCCCTGAATCCACTCTGAGCTCCATGAACTTCAATGACTAAGATTCTCAGTTAAAGAATGGTTTTAGATTTCTGAAGTGGTTGCATACCTTGACATGACAGAAAATGACAGAAATGAATAGACAACCCCCCCCACCCCCGTCCATATTTTCCTAGGATGTTTTTATTTTTATTTTTTGCTTAGAATTTTTGTTGCCTACACATTTTGTCTTATTGCTTTGAACAAAAATGGACATAACTGAAAAAAAAAAAACAGCAGGAAAACAAAGACATCAACAGTATCTCTTATTCACTTTGAGTCATGCTGCTCTCACATTCACACATTCCAACTGCTTAACAGAAAGTGAATTAAAACTCCACATCATGTATAACTACTGTTACTCAACAAATCACTATGCCCTGTTCAAGCCAAATGCCAGTGTATGAGGTGCCCTGTTTTAACAGATAGAGTGCTATGTTAGTGTTCTATCTATTATAAATGTAACAAAGGATACATTTATAACAACATGGCAATGTGGAAACAACTATCCAAATTACTATTCAATTACCTTAAATATGAGTTGTTAACCCCTACACCCAGAATGTATTGACTTCTACATCACTAAGTTTATCTTAAAATATATATATGAGTAGTCACCCTTAAATCATTTAACATTTTTGCTCTTACCATTATTCATTTCAGCGTGGTCCTACATGGACACAGGATGGCAGATTACCAAAACAGTATGGCAACTGATCAAACACACACACACACACACACACTTTATACCCTGAATTTATTTATATATCAAGTATATGAATAAAGGTATTGACTTAAGTGCATCTAACTCACCAAGATTTAATGAAGCTTAGCTCATTACTATTTCTTAAATGATTGCAGATCAAGTAGAGTGCTATAAAAGTTTTCAGTTATTGTTTTAATAATAAGATCTTTAAATTTCCTACATTTTTTCATTTAAGAAGTAGGATCTGCCTTTAAAAATTTTAACAAACCAGAATGGATATCATTTTACTTTTGGATTATTTGAGGTTCTAGTGACTCCCTTCCATGGACTTTAATTACCTCTTGCAATCCACAGAACATTAATTCAAACTTATGTATTCATCAACATTCTGAGGTGTCTAAAATCAAAACCTGAAAATGTTTCACACAATTATAATTAACCATTATGTATAAAGGTGATCATAACTATATTTTCCCCCCAACTTTTCCCAGGGTACAAAGTTTTACGATAGGATGGAACCTGACAAATGTTTAAAGGCAGGTGTATAGTAAGACAGTTACCTGTTGCCAAGAGTGGTTGTCAGCAGCAAGTGAAGTTGAATTAGCGCTCAATATAAACTGCAAAAGGTAGGCTATTTTAGCAGCAGTTTTATGAAATGTTTCTAAACATATTTTGTTTTGGTCTACACCTAAGTCACATTCAGCTTCTGCTCAGCTGAACCTATTGCTGACACCTGTTGTATTTGTAGCCAAATACTATAATTTTCAGTCTGAGTAACAGGATATTTTTGTTTCTGAATAGAGTATTATAAAACTTTTCACAAATTAGCCAAGATTTCTGAAGTCTGAGAAGAAACAGCTCTTGCAGATCATTAACTTCCTGAAACTCAACCAGTAGTTCATTCTTTACCAAGCATTTATGCACATCTACTACATTTTTAAATACCTAACAAGAAAACAAAGACAACAACAACAATCACTTAAGCATTGTGCTATTAAGACAGCAGGGAAATACAGCAATTCCTAGGGTTCATTTTAAAAGGAATCTGATGAATAATGAAGATGTCTGTATTTGAAAGAGAAAAAGGGTAGACCTATTTTGTTTGGAATGTAACATCTTCAGATTACGAACCATCTAATTATGTGATGCTAGCACGTGGGGGCCATACACTGATTGGAAGAGGAATTTGTAGGGTTTATCTCCAGTTCTCCACCCCAAAATGCAAGACACACTTAAACAGGAAAAGGGTCTCTCTTGCTCTCTCCCCCCAACCTTAACATATTCAGAATAAGCTTGAAAACATGAAAAGATCTAGGAACAACATGTAATAGCCTTGATCTAGGCACAAACATAATTAATAAACATATATCATACATCCACAGATATCATCTAGATTTTTTTAACTGTTTCTTATTGACTGATTGCGTTTCCTGTGGCCTCTACTATTTAGGAAAATGTATATATATAAAAAAAGGGCCTACTTACAGATCAGACTTCCCAAGTTCATGCAATTTAATTAAGTCAACTACTTTTAAAACTAGCATGCATTGATTAGTAACAAAAATAAACAGAAGAACTGATTATATATGATTCTAACATCTATAATGCAGTGTTCTGCTTACATGGGGTAACCAATTCATTTGCACCATGTTATCTGAAAAGTAGGGTGCCAGGTTAGAAGAAATTAAAATAAAATTGAAATAAGAAAAAAATAAAGATTTCTAAAAGCTCCCATGAGCCTGCAGTGGCTTACTGAAGTTACCATTCTTGCCATTTCTCTGGGAAGAACAAGAAAGTTAGTTTTGCTGAAAAGCTGCATGGGACTACCAGGGTCTCCTGATTTGAGGCAAACCCACCAGAAAACTTCCTGGGGGACTTCACATGTCCTTGAGGCAGCCAACTAGAAATCTAGGTTTGGTTCCTTCAGATTCAGAGAACCATGGATGTCTCTAGCAACAAATTCTGGTCTCAACAAGCTGAC